CCCCAAAACCCCAAAACCCCAAAACCCCTTTCGTTTATTCATCAATTGAGTGACAAAAATATGATTTAGATATACATATGGGAGCTCTCCTTTATCTTACGCCTTGATCCTTGCTCTGGCCTTCTCTGGGATTGAACTTGAGAATGCTTGCGCTTCTTTTTAGTTTTTAGACATCTTTGCTTCTCTAGAGTAAGATTAGAGCTGGATCACATTTGGAGAGAACTGTTAGGGGGAAATTACCAATTATGCACCAAATCTCTAATAGTATGAAATGTGGAATCAGGCAATGAAGTTAAGGCTTACTTTTGCTACTATTTTTGCCTTTATTTGACAGCTTCTTGTTGATTTTTAATGAGTTCTTCACCTTAAGCTTTTTCAATGGGGCTCGGATTGTTAGAGCTTTTGATGAACTATTTGGCTTATCCTTACTGTTCCCTCTGGAAGTTTTGGAAAGTTTCAAGACTGAGCTTGCATTACCTCTAAGATTCAGTATCCATACAGACTTATTTTAACTCCTTATTCTTTCATTTAGAAGCAGGGAGAATTGGTGAGTACAAGAATTTGCCAGGTTTTCCAGAAGTTTTAGCACCATCAACCTTAATTGGAGTACAGTCTGCTGTAATTATGGTATTACAGTCCGTGGAAGCAGAACTTTTAAACGTGAACTTTTTCTTTACTATTTTCTTTGTAAGTACAGCTTTCAAGTCATCTACTTTATTAATTGATCTCCTTATCTCAAGATCGAGGAAAGGTCTTTTCTTTACTTCAGCTGATTGAAAAAGTTCAAACTCTTTGTCGACGTTGAAGTGATTGAAGAAATTTGAGCTTCGACTTCTAAGATTGGTTAGAATTTTTGGTGAGGCTTTGCCCATATTCTTTGAAAATAATTTCATCAAGATACAGTCGTCATTCGCCTTCTCCCTTTCAATGTTTGCTTTCTGTGATACTCCAGCAACTTTTATATTGTAACTAGCTAATTTTCCTCTGTTTTTGGATTCAGCTACTGGAGTTTTAATGTTTGGAAGAATGCCATTGATCTTTCGCAATTTTTTAATCTGATTCGCCAATTTGATAGAAAAAGAGCTCTTTTTCGATTTAGCACCATCAGAATGAAGGGTTTCATGATCATTTACCCATGGAAGTTGCTTCTCACTCGCTGAGCTAAGCTCTGAAGCATAAATTATACTGGAAACACCTAGATCTTCAATGTCTTCTATAACTCATCCTATAAGTTATAATTAGCCAATTATTAGCACAAAGCAGCATTCCCCGTCAATCTGTTAGAACCAAAGTCGATATGTACCTTGAGGGATTTGATGCATGACAGGTTGTCTCTTTTGGCTAAATCTATTCGTACTCGCCATTCGTGATTATATTTTCAATTATAATCCACTTATAAGGGGTTTTGGGGTTTTGGGGTTTTGGGGTTTTGGGG